GAGAGAGAGAGAGAGAGAGAGAGAGAGAGAGAGAGAGAGAGAGAGAGAGAGAGGAGAGAGATTAGTATTTATTGTCATTTATTTGAGATTACAACAAGTTCTTAATAAATAGGACATTTTCACAAGTACGCACATGAGAAAATGCTCCAATCAATCAAGCTCTGGACTTGAGTGCCCATTTGGAAAGTAGGGGAGGCAATGTGGAGGCTGGGCAAAATCGCATGTTTTGGCCTCAAAGGAGAAGCCTGTAAAGGCAGGATTTAGGCTGGGAAAAGGGAAGGGAATTTCTTCTCTAGGCTTCCTTTGGGGATACTCTGGAGAATACTAAGTAGTTCTTACCTTTCAGGCAGATATTTGGACTGTAATACAATATAAAACCTGAGACTGTCCCCATTCCCAACAGAAGCAAGATCACAACTGCTCCCACGATGCCCCCGATGTTCAAAGGTTCTGGAGAGAAAAAACACACACAAAGCATGGTTTTTAGGTAACGAGGTGGGGCCGGTGTTGAATGAGGAGTCAGGAAGACCCGAGTTAAAATCCTACCTCAGACACATTAGCTGTGTGACCCTGGGTAAGTCACTTATTCTTTGTGAGTCTTCGTTTTACAGCTCATCTGTGCAATGGGGATCATAATAGCAGATATTTGTTATGAGGATCAAAGGAGATAATATTTGTAAAGTGCTAAATAAATGTGGGCGATTATTTCTAGCACTCACATACATGACTGAAGAGTCATTTCACCACCCCCTGGCCTGACCAGCTTCTATTTCTTACTGAGTCACAGACTGACGTCTTTGGGCAAGGTGTCTCGGTTTCCTCATCCATAAAAATGGAGATAATCCAATGTGTTCAAACTGACTCTCATTGTAGTACTTCAAGGATCTGTCATCCCTGGTGGATAATGGGATGTGGGAAATTCCTTCTACCAAAACAGATCATGGCTCCTCCTGAATGTAAGAGCCAGTCTTCGAAGGTTGCTGCAACCAAAAAATGCATCATCTGGGGTGGTCCGGTGGGGAGCCAAGTCCTTGGCTAGGCAGGTCCTCAGACAATAGACCGCTAACATCCCATGTGCCTCATAGGGAAGTGATTGGAATAGGACCGGAAGAACGGACCAAGCACTGTGATAAGGGTGGAAGCTACAGATAGGTAAGCCAAAAAACAGTCCCCTGTGGAACATGTCAGTCAGTCAATAAGCATTTATTAAATGCCTACTATATGCCAGGGACTGTGCTAAGTGCTAGGGAGACCTACAATTCATTCCCCACCAAAATCTCATCAGAATAGGAATCTCTAGTCATTTTTAAGAAACGAAAGATGCCAATGGAATTATCTAGAATTGTGGAATTTATAAAGACCAAGTACATGGTTCATATGGTTCCCAACAAGCAACAACTTGAGTAAAGGAGACAACATGTGAACTAGACATATACTGAAGACAGAAGAATGGAAAGCAATCTGAGAGAAAAAAACACTAGCATTTGGGGAGACCTAGCTCACCTCTATCCCTTCACTGCCATAATATGGAACTAAGGGTGTGGGACGCCACACATGGCTGGTGGGTGGGTTCCTTGCTGAAATGCTCCCCCATCGCCACTCCTTTTCTTTTTTAATCTTCATTATAAGGAATAGCTCAATGGGTAGGGGAGGGTGCTGGATAATAAGATAGGGTTGAAAATAAATGTGACATAAAACAAAAGGCATAAAGATAAGGCATGAGATAAAAAAACACATGAAAGCACTATGCACATGTAAGAGCTTAGAATATAAGCTCTCTGTGGGAAGGCATTGTGTTTTGGTCTATACCATCAACACCTAACTCAGTGCCTGGTACCAAGTAGACATTTAATAAATGATGATTGGTTGGTTGTCTTTGCATCCCCAGCACACAGTAGGTATTTAAAAAATGATGGTTAGGAGCAGCTAGGTGGTTCAATGGATAGAGCACTGGCCCTGAAGTCAGGAGAACCTGAGTTCAAATTTGGCCTCAGACCAAACACTTGACACTTACTAGCTGTGTGACCCTGGGCAAGTCACTTAACCCCAATTACCTAAAAACTTAAAAAAAAATGTCAAAAAATAAAAAAATAAAAAATGATGGCTGATTGGCTGTCTTTGTAAACCCAGCACACAGTAGACATTTTAAAAAATGATGATTGATTGGTTTTCTTTGTAAACCCAGCACACAGTAAGCATTGAATAAATGACGGTTCATTGTTTATCTTTGTATCCCCAGGACACAGTAGGCATTTATTTAATAAATGATTACCGATTAGTTGTCTTTGCACCCCTAGCACACCTGCCCAGAACAGAATAATAATAACAGAATAATAATCATAATTAACATTTACACAGCACTTACTATGTACCAGGCACTATACTAAGTGCTTTACAATTATTAACTCATTTAATCCTCATAGCAACCCAGGGTGATAGGTGCTATTGTTATCCCTCATTTTATAGTCTGAGGTAAACAGAAGTGTAGTGACTTGCCCAGGGTCATACAGCTGGTAGATGTCTGAGGCCAGATTTGAAATCCAGTCTTCCTGACTCCAGGCCTAGCGCTCTATCTAATTAAGTACTAAATAAATGCTTGCTGATTGGTTGTCTTAATATCCCCAGCACACAGTAGGTGCTTAATAAATGCTCGTTTGTCTTTGTATGCCCAGCACCCAGTAGACTTCAGTAACTACCTGTGAATTGATTGTCATCATATCTCTAGCACCTAGCACAGAGCAGGCAATGAAAAATGCTTATTGATTATCTTTGTACCTCTAGCACCTAGCTCTGTGCCTGGCACATAGTAGGCATTTTATAAATGTTTGTTGATTATCTTTCTAGTCACAGCACTTAGCTCAGTGCCTGGCACCAACTATGGCGCTCAAGGAATTCTTGTTAAATGAATAAATTATATTGGTTTGAACAACAGCTCTGGTATCCCTGAGAATCTGTCCTCACCTCCCCAGGCTTCCTGAATGAAGCAACTGCCTTCAGCTGTTTGGCAATGATGAGGCAGGTGGTATGATGGAAAGAACACTGACTAGGGAGTCAGAGGAGCTGAGTTTGAATCCTAACTCTGTCACTAACTATAGGTTAAAGAAATCACCTTTCTGGTCCTCAGTTTCCTTTTCTGTAAAAAGAATTTTTTGAGGGGGTGATTAGTGTCTAGATGACCTTTGAGGTCCCTTTCATCTTTAAAGTTATGATGACTATGGTCTATCTGCTGTGGAGAAAGCATCACCAAAGCATCTCTCTCCTGTCCATTCTAAGGCTGGACAATCTTCTCCCCTCCCCCTGCCATACAGTTCTTGGGAGACAGCTGGGTCAGACTCACTTTTCACAGTCAGCCAGATGTCCACCTCTCTCACCCGCACTGGGTTCTCTGCCCTGCAGACATAGTAGCCTTCATCCACCCCCTGGGAACAGTTGAGGATGGTGAGGGTGGAGACTGAGTCCTTGTGCATTATCAGGTAATGTGGACTGGGCAGGATCTCCTCCCCTGACTGGCTGAGATTCCGCAGCCAGGAGATCTTGGCTGCAGGGTTGGCTCCAGACACCTCGCAGGTGAGGGTCACATTGCCTCCCAGGAAGCAGGTCTTCATTGGCTCGGACTGAAGGGTGGGCCCATCTGGTGGTCATGAAGAAGGAGACAAAGAGAGATGCTTATACACCCAAGCTTGAACCTAGCTTGAAATTCCAGGGGAAATTCCAGCAAAACCTCTTCTTTATGGGATCACAGAGCTGGGTGATACCCAAGAGACCGTCTAGTTCAACCCCATTCATTTTACAGAGTAGGAAACAGGCCCAGGGAGGTTAGGTAAATTTCCCAAAGTTACACAGAAAGTGTCAAAGCTTTGAACCCAGGTTCAGATTCCAATCCAACATTGTACCTCACTGCTGCTAAGAATCACTTCACTAGGATTTGGGGAGTAAATAGCAGATGACCCCAAACCACTAGATTAAAAAATTCACTCCTTAGCCGGGCTTTTAATGCTCTCCAAAATTTGGCTTTGATCTACCAAATTTGGTACTTTTTTTTTTTTAGGTAATTGGGGTTCAGTGACTTGCCCAAGGTCACACAGCTAGGAAGTGTCTGAGGCTAGATTTGAACTCAGGTATTCCTGACTCCAAGGCCAGGGCTCTATTCTTTGTACCACCTAACTACCCCTAAACTTGGTAGTTTTAAAGACGTCAATTTAGACTTTCTAACAATTAGAGCTGTCTCAAAGCGGAAGGGCCTGCCTCTGGAGAGGGTGGATCCCCCTCTTTGGACATCATCAAGCAGAAGCTGGGTGACCTAAGGACCCTTTTAATTCTCAAATTCTCTGATTCTACCAATGATATGGAAAGAACATTGGATTTGCAGTGGCAGAACCTGGGTTCGAATTCTTGGCAGTGACTACCAGCTAGTTGTATTTAGGGAAGTCATCTAACTTGAATTTCCTCGTGCATAGATTAAACGATCTTTAAAATCTCTTTCAGGGACAGCTAGATGGCACAGTGGATAGAGGGGGCAGCTAGATGGTGCAGTGGATAGAGCACCAGCCCTGTATTCAGGAAGACCTCAGTTCAAATCTGGCTTCAGACACTTGACAGTTACTAGCTGTGTGACCCTGGGCAAGTCACTTCATCCCATTGCCTGGGGGGGGGGGGGATCGCTTTCAAATATAACCTTCTTCGATCAACCATTTGTCTGCTTTGAGAGGCCCTGGGAAAGACCTCTCTGCCCCAAATCTCTCTCCATTTCCAAGAGCCAGAGAGTTTGAAAGTTAGAAATTCATTCCTTTGGCAATTGATTTCTCATCCTCCCTAACAGTTTGGCAGCTTCTTCTTACATTGTCCTCTGAGATGTTCTCTCTTCCCTTGGATTCTGGGACACTGTTCTTTCTTTGTTCTCCCCATCTCTATGACTGCTTCTTTTCAGAGCCAGCCATTTGCTGGTTCATTATCCATTGCTGAGAAAGATATTGTGGGTAGTACAATAGACTTGGAGTCAGGCAGACCTGGGTGCAAATCCTGATCCAGACACTCACTATGCTTAGGCACTTAACTTCATCTGTAAAAGATGAGGCTGGAGTAGATGACTTCTAATGTCCTTTGGGGGCTACTAGGGGGTGCCATAGCACACAGTGTGGGGCTTGAAGTCAGGAAGACTCATCTTACTGAGTTCAAATCCAGCCTCAGAAACTTACTAGCTGTGTGACCCTGGGCAAGTTGCTTCACCCTGTTTGCCTCAGTTTCCTCATCTGTAAAATGAGCCAGAAAAGGAAATGGCAAACCACTCCAACATCTCTGCCAAGAAAACCCCAAATGAGGTCACGAAGTACTGAACACAACTGAAATGACTCAAAAACCAATAAAAAGCCCCTTCCAGCCCTAAATCTACGATTCTATGATCTTCTTAAGCATGAGTATTCCTTCAGGCTAGGCCCTCTTCTCTTTCTACTCTTTCTTCCTTGATGATCTCATTTCCACCCATGTGTTTAATGATCACCTTTATGAAGATGACCCCCATATTGTTGTATCCAAACCCCATCTCTCTCCTGAAATACAAGCTGGGACCATCAGCTGCCTGCTGGACACCTCCACCCCAATGTCCTAGTAGCATCTCAAACTTAAGAACTCATCATCTTTTACCTCCAAACCAGCCCGTCTTCCAACTGTCCCTAGCTGTATCGAGGGCACCAGAATCCTTGCAGGCATTCAGGTTTATAAACTCAAAGACCTGGCTCTCTACACATTAATTAGTTATCAAGCTTGGCTTTTAAGATTCTCCAAGAGAACCATTCCTGCTGTACATAGAATTCTCCTTCATGCACTCTTCATTCTAGCCAAATTAGCCTACTCATTGTTCCCCAAACTCAGCAACCCATTTCCCATCTCCAAGTATTTGCTTATGCTATGCTCTCTGCTTTGAATGGTTTCAGCCTCTTGCAATCCTTATCTTTATTCTAAACACAGAACAGGTCTCACTACCCTGCCTTGAAGCCCTCTTTGTTCTCCTTCCCTCCCCCAGTGCATGCTCTCGCTCTCTCTCAAATAATTTACATTTATTTATCTGAGTATAGAATCCTTAATTCATTCAAGGATCAGTTCAAATATATCTACTTTACAATAATAATAGTAGTTTGTTATTCAGCTGTGTCCGACTCTTTGTGACACCATTTGGGGTTTTCTTGAAAAAGATTTTGGAGTAGTTTACCGTTTCCTTTTTACCATTTTACATTTTATCATTTACCATTTTACAGATGAGGAAACTGAGGCAAACAGGGTGAAGTGACTTGCCCAGGGTCACACAGCTAGGAAATGTCTGAGGCTGGATTTGAACCTAGGAAGAAAAGTCTTCCTCACTCCAAGCCCTGCACTCTGTGCACTATGGCGCCACCTAGCTGCCCAGTAATAGTAATAACAACAACAATTAGTATTTATATAGCACTTGAAGGTTTATACAACCTTTATAAATATTATTTCATTTGATCCTCACAATAATCTTGGGAGGTGGGTGCCATTATTATCCCCATTTTAAAGAGGAAAAAAAAACTGAGGCAGACAGAGGTTCAGTGCCTTGCCCAAGTTTACAAAGCTAATAAGCATCTCTCTATGTCACCCAGAATATCCTAATTCCCACCCCGATTGCTTGTGTCCACTCCCTAAGAAGATACTTGTATCATAGAAGATACATTTTGCATGTACTAATCTATATACATGGTGCTTATCTTCAATGGAATGTAAACTCCTTGAGGGTAGGAGCTATTTCATTTTTGTTCGTGCTTAACAAATGTTTGTTGAATAAATAAATATTGTATTCTCCCAGTAGGATGTAAGCTCTTTGAGGGTAGGGACCATTTTGTTTTTATTTTCATATTCCTCAATGTCCAGCACATTATGTATATTGTAGGTCCTTAAGAAAAATTTTAAAAAATAATAAACTGGCTTCCTCCCTCTGGAATAATATTAGTACCCATTTCACAGGGTGGTTGTAAGGATCAAATGAGATGATCTGTATAAGGTGTTTCGCAAACCTTAACTTGCTACATAAATGTTAGGGGTAGGGCCTAGACCTGTAATTTTATTGATATGGGGAACGCCCACATTAGGAAGTTCCCCATACCAATGCAGGTCAGCACCTTCTCTGCCCCTCAGAGGGCTGTCTAAAGCAGAAATGTCAGACTCCATCACACTGAACTAGACTAAAGTGTAATTGGGAAATATTTAACAAAATAAATAAAAATATAATAAAACATAGTTAATATTGGTTTGTGGTTTTCTGAATCACTATGTTGCCAGAAGGGATATATGCTTCTATTTGACTTTGCCACCACTGCTCTAGAGCCCTAAGAAGTTCAGGGACTTGCCAAGGGTCACACAGCCAATATATGTCAGAAGTGGGATTTGAATCCAGGTCTTTCTGGTTCTGATGGTTTTGATCCATCTCACCAGAACTCCCTTATAGAGATTTTAGCCACTATTGTTATTATTTACCTTGACAGAAGCAGGCAACAGTCAGTGGAAGGAATGGGAGCCCTGGGTTAAGGCACAGGGAACAAGGGAGGTGGCTTTATCTACTGGAGAATTTTGCCAAGGGTCAGCCGTATGCTTTTTCTGAGTATGGGGAGGGCAGTGATGAGGGAGGGTATAAACCTATCTCTCTAATCCAAGTCTACAACATGGAATCCCCCAAAACTGGATTTGCTCATGAATCTCTTGCCTTTGCAACCTTTCTCAGGGAGCCTCCAGTTCCCCTGTTCAACACACATTAAATGCTTTTTATGTACAAAGCACACCACTAAGTTGTTGTTGTTTCTCCTTCATTTCAAAAAGGATCAATGACATCACGAGGTTATATCTCAACTTAAGTGAGGCAGAGTTGTACAAAGCTGTCAACCTCCCTCTCTCTTCCACAGTCATCGACGTCCAGTGGCTGGAATAAAAGTCAAGACAACTGTTGAAGTATTAGGGATACAAAGACAAAATGGAAGAGTCCCCTGTCCTCATGGGGAGGAGGTGGAGTAGACAACATGTACAGATTGATATAAGATAAACTAGAACAAAGGAAGATCCAGATAAAGGGCACTAAATTTGGAGTCAGGAAGACCTGGGTTCAAATACCACCTCGACCTTTAATAGCTACGTGACCCTGGGCACTTAACCTTTCTGGACCTCAGTTTTCCTGTTTGTAAAATGAGAAAGCTAGACTCAATGGCCTCCCTTCTGGCTTTAAATCTATGATACTGACTCCAAGAGAAGGGAAAAAAGGCTTTGGCTGGAGGGATCAGGGAAGTTCTTATGAAACAAGTGGCAACTGAATGAGACCTAAAAAAAGGTGAGGACTCAGGAAATTGACTACTAAGCACATATCCCAAAGAGGTCATAGACAGAAGGAAATATACAAAAATATCCAGAGCAGCACTTTATGATAGCAAGAAACAGGAAATAAAATGGGGGCTCATCAATTGTGGGCAGCTGAACAAACTGCAGAGTATGAATGTAACAATGTTTTTACACTGTAAGAAACTACAGCTGTGATGAATTCAGAGAAGCATGAGAAGACTTTTATAAACTGATTCAGGGTGAAGAAAGCAGACTAAAGAAAATAATGTATACAGTGATGATAATAATATAAATAAAACAACACTATAAGGGTGCTATCATTTGCAATGACCAATTTTAGCATCAGAGTGTTTAGACAACTCAGTCATGTCAGACTCTTCATGACCCCATTTGGGGTTTTCTTGGCAAAGATACTGGAGTGATTTGCCATTTCCTTCTCCAGCTCATTTTATAGATGAGGAAATTGGGGCAATAGGAATTAAGTGACTTGCCCAGGGTCACACAGCTGTCTGCGGTCAGATTTGAGTTCAGGAAGATGAGTGTTCCTGACTCTAGGCCTGGTGCTCTATGCATTATGGTGCCATGTAACAACCCTAGTACTAGAGTACCCTCTGGTATTACTTGGATTATTTTCAATGACCAATTTTAGTACCAGAGAACAAAGAGAGAAATAAACTTCTGAGGCATCTAGGTGGCCCAGGGGATAGAGGCTGGACCTGGCATCAGAAAGACCTGTATTCAAATCCAGCCTTAGACACCTGATGGCTGTGTGGCTCCAGGTAAGCTGCCAAACCTCTATCTATCTCAGTTCCCTCAACTGCAGAATGGGAATAATAACAATACCTACCTTATGGGGTTGCTGTGAAGATGAAATGAGATAATACTTATACAATGCTTGGTGCACAGTAGGCCCTATAAAAATGCTTATTCCTTTCCTTCCTTCCAGTAAAGAGTGGGCTATAGGGATATAATATCTGAATGGCCTCTGCTCTCAGAATCAGTCACTTTCTGTTAATTTTACTTAACTTTTTCTTTGCAACAAAAGAGGGCTCAGGAAATGTAGTGATGTAAAAAGAAAGACATCAATACAATTTTTTTTTTAAAGAGAAGGATTTTAAAAGTCAGAAATGAAGACTGTGTGTATTCTATAGGTGCACGGAAAAAGAAGGACCTTCTTTCTTTAGTGCTTGGCATTTTCCAACATGCGGGCCTTTTCCCGGCTGTACCTTTAGGAAACAGGCTGACAAATGGTCAAAATGGAAGTTTTTAGAGCTCACTAGACACACAGATAGAACCAACACACCTGATTAAATGTTTGCAAAATTCAACAGAAGGAAAGACAGGAGACGAGAGAGGAGAAGCCCCCAAACACTCCTTATTTCCCAGACAGCTTATGAAGGAATAGCAACCCCTCTTCCACAGGTGACTCACTTATCTGGACCACACAGTTGGCTCCCGTCATTCCCGACCCCACGATATGATTCCCGATACACTTGAACTTCTTGCCGTCAGACAACTGGGACCGATTGAGTGTCTCTACACCCAAGCTTGAATTGCCCAAGATCAAGTTTCCTGGCTCTTCTGTCCACAGGAAGACGGGATCTGGATACCCGCCAGACCATCGGCAGATGAGCTGTAGCATGGACCCCATGGCGGCCGTCTCTGCCCAGCACTGCGGGGCTGACCAAGGTGGATCTGTGAAGCACAAGGACACCTCTAGCTGGCTCCTTTGGGCACCAAGCCATCTGTTAACATGACAGGGCTGAGACAGCAAAAAGATCAGCGGAAGCCAGTTATCTTGATATAGCTGAAACCTCAGACATCTCCAAAAAAACAAAAAAATCTCCATTTTTTTTTTCTCATAAGTAAAGGGAATGGGCAGAAATGTAACTAAGTGTGGATTTTTGGGCCTGGGGCAAGAGACTCAAAGCATATACTCAGTTGTGGGGGCAGATAGAGCAGGGTGGGATAAGGGAAGAGCTCACCCCAGCCCACCCTCTGTTTTCTATTTTAACTCATCATTTTTGTAACATCTAACTTCTGTTATTCCCATGCTGCTGGAGGCCTAGAGATACATTCAGCACTCTCAAAATTCAGCACCCTGGGCATGTGCCCAGATCACCCTGCCCTAGTTAGCTCTGCAAGTTGGCAAGCTATATTTTTTCCATTTATCACAAAACTTTCCTCTCTCCTTCAGCAAAAGGATAAGTATCAATTCCTAAGAAGTATGGTCAATGTTTCTCTTTATATATGCAGATTTTCCCTTCTGTGGATGGTTTTTGTCCTCTATATTTCAACCTCTCATTTTGTGATTTTTGTCACATTTCGTCCTCTCTATCTCAATCTCATATTTTGTCCTTTCAACATCAAATTTTGTCCTATCTCAATCTCACATTTTGTGGTTTCTGTCACATTTTGTCCTTTCAACATCAAATTTTTAATCCAAGGTCTATTTCCCCTTGATGATCATTATAGTGCTATGTTTTAGCCCCACACAACTGATGTATGCCTAGATTTTAGTACTGATTTTAGTACTCTTTAATTTTTTTTGTCCAGGCCTGTGATTTCATCTAGTGTGGGAAGTTTCTGCTATGAAAACTCTCTCCATAATGCAGACTGCAAAGTTTCTGTAGCTTACAGAGTTAGACTTATCTGGGGGCACAGAGAGGTTAAGTAGATTTTCCAGAGTCACACAGCCTGTGTCAGAGGCAGGACTTGAACCCAGGCCTTTCTGACTCTGCTATACCATGCTGTATTTTTCTTTTGGGTCGAACCTATAATTTCATTGGTATAAGGAATTCTCAAAGCAGTTATGTCAACTGTTTTGCAAATTATAGTCTGGTACTGACAGGTTAACATAGAGAACGTTAATTTGTGGTTTTCCAAGTTCCTTTCTATTTGTGTTTGATACCACTACATTCCTTCACCATGCTGTCTCCTCTCATGCTACGTGTAAAGCATATAAACATAATGGAATAGTATTGTACTAGGAGACATAGTGAATATTTGGAGGAATTTGGAGAAACATGAGAAGATTTGTATGAACTGATGGAGAATAAAGAAAGCAGAACAAGGTGAACAATATATACAGTGCCAATAATATAAATGATAAAAAGTCCATAAAACTCTGATGAACTGTAATAAAGAATCTCCATCCTGGAGAAGTGTAAAATGAACCACATCTCTCTCCTCTCAGTAGAGGTGGAGGACCTTGGATACGGAATGGGGTATTACCTGCCAGACTTGGTCTATGTGTTGATTGGTTTTGCTTAAATGTTATTCTTCGCTAGAAAAGGCTAGGAGGGAGATTAAGGGCAAAGGATGGGTGTAAAAACAAAAGAAAATACCATTTTTTTTAAGGGAAAGCAACGAATGACAAGGTAGCTCAGTGGATAAAGCACTAGACCTGGAGTCATGAAGATGTCAGTTCAAACCCTGTCTCAGATACTTACTAGCTGTATGATCCTGGGCAAGTCACTTAACCTCTCTTTGCCTCACTTTCTTTATCTGTAAATTGAGGCAGATGGGCTTAATGGTCTCTAAGCTCCTCTCCAGTTCTAAATCTGTGACTATATGTGTAAGCATGACGATACAGGGGCATGGAAGACCACAGGGGATGGATGAATGAGCCTGTGGGCATTCCAGATTAAGTGTGGTCCCAGCAACAGGCAGGAGCAAAGACTTCTTACGTACAATACACCAGGAGCTCAGAGGTCTCTTTCTGAACTCTCTTGCTGAGCGTGTTTGTGGCCAAACACGTGTAATTCCCCTGAAGTGTGGGCGACATGTTGTGGAGCACAAAGTAGCTGAAGGTCTCATTGTTGACCCCAAAGGGCTCACTGCTGGACCCTGACTGCTGGAAGGACCACTCCACCACGGCCGGTGGGTAGGAGCTGCTGCTGCAGTTGAAGGTCACCTGGGAGCCCCTGGCGACAAAGAGGGAACCATTTGGGTGGATTCCAGTCGGAGAGATGTTGATGTCGATCTGGGTGGGGCCACCTGGAATGAAGGTGACAAGGAGGGAGAAAAAAATGTTCAAAAGATGACTCCTCCATAGCTCTAACAAACAAATCCCCCCCCCAAAGGTGATATAGTTGTCTCCTAATTCCAAAGTCCCCTTATTCTAAAATCTATGGAGAGAGACTAGAAGTTGGATTTCTCTAGTTTAGAAGATTCCCTGGTAAGAAAACACCCTCCACCAATTCAGATTGACCCCATTTCTGCAGTTTATAGTTTTCAAGAGTTTCTTAAGGCACAGAGACTTACTCAGGGTGACACAGCCAGAATGTAAGAAGCAAGGCTTGAACACAGGTCTTCCTGTCTCTGAGGTTGGCTCTCTATCCACTATACCATGCTGCCCATTAGACTGTAAGCTCCTGTCCTTGACGACAGGGACTATCTTTTACCTTTCTTTGTATCCCCAGCACTTACCCCAGTGCCTAACATATAGTAGGCACTGTGATGTTTAAAAAGTTCTAGAGAAATCATTTCTGGGGAGTCATTTTGTTAATAATGCTAGCATTTTAATAAAAAGTCGGTGGCACTCTTGAATGTCAAAGATCCCTGATGGTGGTAGGCTCACAGTACATATGCCCTTGAAAGGTGTTCCTGAGGGTGGCAATCAACTCTGATTGGTCAACAAGTAATGAGAGAATGAATATTATAATGAGATTCTCATTCTAATGAGGGTCTTGGGGATGTGACTTGGATCACTCAAGTCTTAGTCAAAGAAACTTGACAATTTCCATATCACTAGTCTGACAAAAGGGAGAATCTCCATTTTCCCAGACCTGTCTGAGTAAACACAATAAGCAGGACTTCATCCACTAGCCTAAACTTAGAATTTCTTTTACTGTTTTTTATTAGATCTTTGGTCTGGGTAAGTCTTTGAGAGAGATTTTCCACACTGGTTGATTTCTGGATGAGGAAGTAGAAAAGAGGAAAAACCTTGATCCTGATTCAATTATTAATTATTAATACAAGAAGAAATAATTCTTTCTCTCAGCACTTACATGTTTACTGGCTGACTAACTGGAACACACTGAAAAGATTAAAACCTAAAAAAGACCAGTGTAGGGGCAGCTATGTGGTGCAGTGGATAAAGCACCGGCCCTAAAGTCAGGAGGAGCTGAGTTCAAATCTGACCTCAAACCAAACACTTGACACTTACTAGCGTGTGACCGTGGGCAAGTCACTTAACCCCAACTGCCTTGGAAAAAAAAAAAAAAGACCAGCTTAAATTGAGTGTGAGGAAACGTCTCAGTTTAAATTTCCCTAAAATAGCAGACCAGGACCTAATTCAACTCAACAGCATTCATCGGACACCTATTATGTTCTAGGCAGTACTCTGAGTACTTGGGATAAAAAGACAAAAGATCAAAACAAAACAGGACCTGTCCTCGTGGAGCTTACATTTTACTAGGAATGATCGACACGGACGGAGAGAAGTAAATAAATACAAAGTGTTCCCCATGTAGCACAGTCTCAAATCCTTTGAAGGTATATTACACTCCAAAGGGATGAATTTCTAATCATACTAATTTCTCTAATCATTAAGAGGCCACTATGACAAACTACCCCTGATGGGCTCAGATGCCTTTTCTAGCTCGAAATTCTATGTTCCCATGTGATATATAATAGCGTGAAATTTGACAGAGGGAACAGAGCACTGGACTTTGGAGTCAGAAAGATCTGAGTTTGAATTTTTCTTCAGAAACTTACTAGTTCTATGAACCTGAACAAACAACTTCACCTCTCTAAGTCTCAGTTTCTTCATCTATAAAATGGGGATTATAGTAGCACTTACTTCCCAGGGTTGTTGTGAAGATTAAGTGAAATGATAAATGTAAGGACTTTGGCAAACCTTAAAGTACTATATAAATGTTAACCTCTGTGTGATTAATTAGTATTCTCTGATTCCCTAGCTGGAGTTTAGAATCTCCCAACTCTAAACTCTTGATAGCATTCAACACAAATGTTATGACTCCCTTACCTTGTGTTAGAGCCATCTGGGTACGAGCCTTAAATCTCCTGCTGAACAGTAAGCTCCCGGAAGGCAGGAGCCCTGTCTCATTCATCTTTGTATCACTCTAAACCCTATGCACATTGCAAGTGCTCCTTCCAATCCATCTTCTAACAAAATCATCTTCCTAACACAGGGCTCTTAGAGTATCGCTGTGACCCTCTTCCACTCAAGAAATTTCAATGGTTCCCTACTGCCTTTAGGATAAAATTCAACCTCTACAATCCCACACTTAAAACCTTCCACAATCAAGTTCTCTCCTCCCATTCTATTCACATTTGCCATCACTCCCCTTCACATACCCTACAATCTGGTCAGACTAGCCCATTAGCCATTACCTAGACTTAACATGGTATAGTCTGGGCATGGTGCTAACCAGTGTAGCCCCTAGGTGTGGTATCCAACATGGCACCCAATGATTCTCTATCTCATTCACCCCAAACTACATTCATGCTAGCAAGTCTGAGGAGTTTTCCCAGGAAGATTAAGTTGGACATGACTGCCATGCTATTACAACTCACTCTCAGGGTCCTGGGGTTAGGGAGAGATATATTCCTTCTATTCTATGAAGCCCCCACCTATATGCTTACCATTTTCAACAAATCAGTTACTTATGACACCATGCATTCATAAATATGAAACATTTACTAAGAAGGTAAAAGCAACCAATCAAAATTAGCCTAACATTTATTCATCAAAAGCAGGAATAATCAATGTGACAAAAACCTGGATTGTGATCCCACCAATATACAGAGTATGTGATAGAGAGTGGGCAAGCATTTAACAGTGAAGTACATATGTAGAGAAACACATTTGCCCAGAGCAACTCACAAATCTGGACTGCAGACCTGGAGGTCTAACAGTCTAGGTAGGTGCGGTGCCTAGAGCACTAAGTCTGGAGTTCAGATACTTCCTAGCTGTGTGGACCTGAGCAAGTCACTGTTTGCCTCAGTTTCCTCAACTGTAAAATGAGGATAATAATAGTCTCCCAGGCTAGATAATAATCTACCTCCCAGGATTGTTTTGAGGATTAACTGAGATAATACTTGTAAAGTGCTTAGCCCAGTGCCTGACACACTATATAAATGCCAACTATCATTATTTTTATCATCATTATCATCTGTTTTAGGGAACAGTCTGTATCTCATGTAATCTGCTCCTCTCCCTGAGCCTTTCTTTTCTCCTTCTAGACAAAGCCTTTCTCTGTGACTCTTGGGCCACTGATGTAGTAAGCTCTTTTAGTAGAACTGTCACATTAGACCATTTCAGTGAAACAGCAGCCCTGAGTCCGGGGTCTAAGGCTTTCCAGGTCTACTCCCTTGGTTGGGCTATTTCAGCGACAAAAAGCTGCCCTAAGCCAGAGAACTGAACAATTCTGGAGACACTGAGGAGTTTCTCTGTTTCTCAAGCCAGAAAGCAACACAAGTAAGCCCATGAGAGGTTTTCCCCCTTTTTGGATGTGGGTAACACTAAAGGGAAGCCAACCCTTTACTTAGTTTCCAATCAGCCTCCAGAGCATCTTGCAGTAAGTTTCTGTCCTCAGTCACTCTCAGCCTCTAGATGGTGCTAAAGAGCGAGAAGCTCAGCTAGCTCTTCATGCAACAAGAGGCAGCTGCTGTCTCCACCGAGCTCCCAGCAGTTGCAGAGCCCACTAGGCTTCAGTCCATTCTCTCGGTGGACTCACCCAAAAGCAGCTGAATCTCCCATGCCCTCCAGCAGGGGGCAGTGTCCGCCTAGAGATATTATCTCTCTTCTATGGCTTCAAAAGCTTCAAATCAGAGCTCCATCTCTAACTCAGTTAAGAAAAAACTCAAATCCACAGTTCAGTTAGATATGACCCAAATAAGCAATATACAATCCCTCCATAGTTACCAAATAATTCTGTGATTTACAGTTATCTCAGCTATATCCCTCAAAACCTTGAAAAGTCATGTGTAAATCAACAGATGGGAAAGAAGGAAAGGAAGAAGGAAAGAAGGGAAGGAGAAAGGAAGGAGAAAAAGAAGGGAAGGAGGAAGAAAGGAATGAAGGAAGGGAAGAAAGAAAGAAGGAACAGAGGAAGGGAGGGAGAGAAGAAATAAAGGGAGGAGGGAAGAAGGGAGGGAGAGAGGAAGGAAGGAAGGAAAGAAGGAAGTAAACATTTATTCAGCACCTGTTATGTACTGTGCCAGGTACTTGTACAAGCATTTTATAAATCTCGTTTGATCCTCACAACAATCCTGGAAAGTAGGTGCTATTATCATGCCCATTTTTAAGGGGAAAGAAACAAGCAGACAACTATATGAATAGAAACATAAAACATTTTTATACAAATAAATTTAGATCTAAATAATTGAAGTAATATTTAGTGTTCAGAGGCAGGTAAAGCCAATATAATTAAAAACGACAATTTTCCCTAACTAATCTACGTAATGCCATCCCAATTAAATTACTAAAAAATTATCTTACTGAGTTAGGAAAAATAACAACAAAGTTCATTTAGAAGAACAAAAGGTCAGGAACTTCAAGGAAACCAGGGGGGAAAAGATGTAAAGGAAGCAGATTTTATAGTATCAGACCTTAAACCATTTTATAAGGTGAGAGCATTGCTGAAGTATAAAATTGGTAATTTTGGTTATTTTAAATCAAAATTTTCTTGTATAAATAAAACCTATGCAGCCAAGAATAGAAGGAATGCAGAAAATAAGGAAGAAATTTTCATACACCAATCTCTCAAACAGAATGGGATTGCGTTGGAATATTGTGGTGTAGGAAATGATGAGCTGGTTGATTTAGAAAAACATGGAAAGACTTGGACTTATGAAGGAAGATGCTATCCACCTTCAGAGAAACAGATAACAAGCAGGAATAAGCATAGTATGGTCTTACATATACGTGTCTGAATGTCTATGTTTATAGATGTGTATGTTCATAGATATCTATGTGTGTGCATATATGTGTATGTATGCATATATATGTGCATGTGTATGCATACATACATACATATTATATATACATACATATATATACATATACATATATATATACATACATATATATATATATATATATATATATGGCTTAATTGTAGTCTTCTTTGGGGCATATAGTTATAACAAATGTTTGTGGAATTGAATAGATGCTTCCTGAATGAATGAATCAATGAATGCCTATCCAAACAGTGATGACTTTTAACCTCTTTGTCAATTCTCCTTAGGTACATCTTTTCCCATGTTGTACGAGCCATGGGAGAAATGGGAGAGATAGAAGCTCCCCGGCTCGTCTCTCTTTTTTGTTTACAAGAGCAATTTAGCCACTAAGCAAATACATTCAATTTACATAGACAGGACAAAGCAACTTAAGATTTTCTCCACCCAGCTGACTCAGCTTTTTATCAAGGGCTAGACTCACCACTTGGCATGGAAATGAGGACACCTGGGTTTTAATCCTGTCTTAAAGACTATGTCCCTGATAAAATTACTTAACTTCTCAAAACCTCAGTAAGCATCATGAATAATATTTAAACCCAGGCCTTCCTGCCACCAAAAGCCAATACTCTATCCACAGAGACATGCTGCCTCTTAGATGTTTGTACTTTTCCTTTTTAATTGTATTCTTCCTTCTTTCCTTTCTTTTCTTCCTTCTTCCTTTCCCTTTTCCTTTCCTTTCCTTTCTTTTTAAATATCACTGATGTTTCCCATGGATGCCATTTCACCGACCCCCAAAACAGAACTCTTTTTTATTAAAAAAAAATTAGTTAAACAAAATAAATAAACTCATTGTCCAAGTCTGAAAGTGTATACTTCATTCCCCACTGTAGGCCATCACCTCTCTGCTGCTTGCTGTAATTACAGCTAGAGTAAACAGAAGCTGCCCGAGGGCAGGAACTCTTCCTTCCTTCCTTCTTCCTTTCTTCCTTTCTTTCTTTTTTATAGCCTCTGTTCCTACCACAGTGCTTGGCACACAGTAAGTACATAATAAGTCAATTATGAATAGAATCACAGAATCTCAGGGAAGGAAAGACCTTCTTTAGAGGCCATCTTGTCCAACCCAAACCTGAAAAAAAAAAGAGTCTTCCCTATAACAAAACAAGCAGTCACATAGTCTTGCTTAAAGACTTTCTGTAAGGGAGAGGCCCCATCTCCCAAGACATTTAGTTCTACTTTGGGCCAGTTCTCAACGCTAGGAATTTTCTCCTGACGTCTAGTGCAAATTTGCCTCTTTACAATTTCCACCTGACTCTACCTTTTTTGGACTGATTCTCAGGTGGAATGGACACAGGGCCCTTCCCCATTCTGGCTGCCCTCTGGACACGCATGTGCTTATCAATATTTTCCCTAAAATGTGGTGCCCAGAACGGAGCCATCATTTCCAGTTTCAGATGATTTAGCAAGGCACAAAGGAATCCATCCCTGGATAAAAGACAACCTCATTTGGCCATGGCCTGAGATTTTTCTTCATCCCATCCAATGTTTTCCTTTTAGCTCCATATTGCCCCAGTGAGAAAAGTTCTTGACAGCCACATTGACCTTGGAGAGTAGAACAAGGAATGGTGAGGGGAAATTGCATTTAGGTTCGATATAAGGAAAATCATTCTAACAGTGTGAGTTATCGTAAAGCAAAATGGAGCCTTGGGAGGTAGCTGAGTTCTCCCTCACTGGAGGTCTTCAAGAAATGGATGGGCAGGGGTGGGGCCCTTTGAATCCAAACTTCACAGAACAAATTCCCTTAATAAGAGGATTTGTTCTGTAAAACTTGGACTCAGTCAAAAGGCCACACTGAGGACCTAGAAGGCCACGTGTGGCCCTGAGGCCACAGGTTCCCCACCCCTGGTATATTGTCAAGAGGATTCATAATTTATTATTGGGCTCTTTGGCTTCTGAAGGCCCTTCTAATCTGTGATTCTATGACCTCTGCGAAATCCCTGGTGGGCTGACCCCAGCCTGCTCTCTAAATACATAAGCAGTTAGCATATATAGAGCATATTTATACTTGGAACATACTTCCCTCCTTTTCCCCTTTGCTGCCCAGGGCCCCCTCCCCAAGCTTGCTATACCAGTCCCTGCACACAACACAGACACACCCACAAACCTGTCCCAACCTGTACACGCGGACATACATATGCTCCCAGACCCAATCTACAAATTCCTTCTCTGCCCTCACCTGGCCTCCTTACTAAACACCAGAGGACTTTTTCTATCCAAAATAGGAGGTTTGAGGAGGGGGAAGGAGGGAGCTGGGCAGGGGGAGTAATAATCATAGGATTTAGAGCTGGGAGAGGCCTTCCTAGCCATCTGGTCCAATTACTTCATTTTACCAAGGAGGAGGAAGTTGAGCCCCAGATGTCCAAGTGATGGACAGATGTTCCAAGGACCAGCATAGCTATGCATGAAGAGGTTCGTGAGTTGCTTGGCGACCATTAGTGATGAATATTTTAGCCATAGCAACCATGAGACAAAGTAGAAATAAAGGAAGTGATATAGAACAATCACAAGGTATCAACTAGAGAAGACTTCAGAAACTATTTAGGTCCAGCCCATAATGGAAAAAATGATCCCCTCCACATTATGGGATGGATTTTTTTAAGCTTCAGAGGCCCATGAGATAAAGACCCTGCCCTCAGGGATCTGATATGCCTATCCTACCCATTGGCTCACCCAAAGAAGAAACCAAGGCCCACAAACTTAAGTGAGCTGCCCAAGGTCACACTGGTAGTAAGAGACAGAGCTGGGACTAGAGCCCAGGTCTTCTGGCTCCAAACCTAAGGCTCTTCTTACTTTAATATCCATTTGTTCTCATAATGCCCCCATGAGATAAGCAGGGCCCGGCTTCTGAAGATTTTACAAACTGGGAAACTGAGTCACAGAGCAGTTACACAGTCAGGTAACAGCAGGGTCAGGGCTATAATCAAAGTTTCTGTTCTCTTAGACTTTCACTTCCTGAACGCAAATAAACCCTCCTCCACCCTTTGTGTCCCACACCAAGTTCATAAAGATATACAGTTGGTCAAAGACTGACAAACATGACTTCTGGGGATGATACTTCACAGCTTTCTGTCTACTTTTTTCTACTTTTCTTGCCCCAAACTTAAAACAAACACAGACCAACCATCCATAGGCTTAGAGAGAAATTGATCTTCATTACTTACTGGCCACCAGCAGTTGGACCCTGTGTTCCAGGTGGTCTCCCAGGGTCTCATTCAGGACTTCCCGACAGGTGTAGTTCCCCTCATCCTGTAGGCCCAGCCCTGTGATATGCAGGGAACTGGCATTCACTAGGGAGTAGTGAGATTCAGATGGAAGGGTTGTTTCAGAAGAAAGGAGGAAGGTAGCCTCAGGCTCGTTCCTATACCAGCTCACCAGGCCCCTGGAGACTGAGGTATTGCTACAAGGTATGGTAATGTTCTCTAGTTCTTCTCCAATAAATACAGCTTTGGTTTCTGCAATGGAGAGAAACCAGACAGTTAGCACCACTCTGAGATACCTGGCCAGTCACCTGAGTCTTAGAGATATCCTCATGGCTGTGACTTCTCCCCCACACCCAATGAGCAATTTTAAAAGGGGAAAATGGAAAGATTCACCACTTTAGATCATTACAAGCAGCTTCAGCCACAGGCTAATGACAATGCTAATTAGCTCATCATCTTTTCCCTATGATAAAATACAAACTTCCCAGCCTAGTACTCAAAGCCCTCCACAGGCTGGATTCAACGACCTCTCTGGACTTATTTCACATACTTCCAACCTTCCAATATAACTGGATAATGAGCTGTCCTCCAAATTCAACATTAAATTTTTGGAATCCTCTGAGCTATCCCCCAAGCCTGGAATGTACTATCTCTTTAAATCCACACCTCAGAATCTTTATCTTCTTTTAAGGCTGACCTCAGATGTCACTTAAGTGTCCTTTAAGGCTGACCTCAGATGTCACTTAAGTGAAGCATTCCCTGGCCTCACCCCTTGCCCAGATGTGAGCATTCCCCACCTTTTTAAATTGGCTTGCATTTATTTATTAGATTACATGTCAGAAATTAACTCATTTCTGTAATGCTTTGAGCTTTACAAAATACTTTCTGGACACAACCCCACAGGATGGGGAGTGAAAGCTGTATCATACTCATTTTACAGATGGAGAAATCATGGCTCTGCACACAAAAAGCTAGTAATAGAACTAAGGTAGGATTGGAACCCAGGTCTTCTCAACTCCAAGCCCAGGTGCTATCCATTACACCAGACTCCTTCTCAATCACTCAATATGGAACAGAAACTCCATTAGGGCAGCACTATTTTGTCTTGGTATTCCCAGAACTCAGTGCCTTGTCTTGTATGTTAGTGGTATTTAATAAGTGTTACGCTTGAAGTTTTACGCTCCTTCACCCCAGCAGATCCAAGAGCCAGATCAAGGAGCAGGATTAGAATCTTTCGATGGTAGATAATACAGTTTAATCCTAGTCTCATCACGGTGGGTTCTCTCCACCAATCACTCCACAAGCATGGGACACTAAGGTCCTTTCTCGAGCTGAACTGCTAAGCTTTCAAACCCTACTGCAGAGAGCACAGTGCCAACGGACTGGCCATGTTGTTCGAATGCCAGACATAGGCTTACCTAAATGACTATTTTAAGGAGAACTCACACCAGGCAAGCACTCACATAGAAGTCAGAAGACGCGATACAAGGACACTCTCAAGGTCTCTCTGGAGAACTTTGAAATAGATTGTGAGACATAGGAGACACTGGCACAGGACCACCCGGCACGGTGTGCCCTCATTAGAGAAGATGCAGCGCTCTATGAGCGAAGCAGAATTGCAGTAGCTCAAAAGAAACATGAGATGTGTAAATTTAGAGCCATCAGCACCCCAGATGTTCAGATGGACTCTTTGTGCCCAACCTGTGGCGAGCCTTCTGAGCTCCTATTGGTCCGATCAGCCAGAGTCAACACCCTGTAACTTGACTCTAACATAGTGATGTCATTTTGGCACTCTTTCGTTATGAAAGACAACCAGCTAATTATGTGTCACGCACTAGGAGCTGGGTGCTGAGATCCCAAAGATAAAAATGTAACAGTCTCTGCCCTCAAGCAGTTTAAATTCTACCAGGAGATACAATAAAATGAACACATCATGATTTTGGTGGTGAGCGAGAACATTAGCAGCTGCAGGGCATTGGGAAAAACTTCACGTACAAAGTGGTCCTTGAGCTGAGACTTGAAGGGAGTGAGGGATTCTGGAGAGGTAGAGATGAAGAGGGTGTGCATCTCAAGCATGAGGGGACAGCCTGTGCAGAGATACAAGGGACATGGAGAGGAGAGATGAAATATCATGTGAGCAGGACAGGAAGCAAGCCGACTGGGGCAGACATCAGCACGGACGGGAGCAATGTAATAACCAGTCTGAAGCCCGATAGTGAAGGGCGTCAAATGCCAACCAGAGGAGTTTGTATTTTATCCTACAAAGTGGCACTGGGGAGCCACTGGAGTTTAGTGAGCATGACAGGGACGTAGTCAGAACAATGTTTCAGGAATATCAGTTTGGCAGAGGTGTGTAGAAAAATTCCAAGCAGATGAAAACCCCTTCACCCTTTAGCAGGTGATCTTGAGGGATTCCTAAATTGGTAGGACACATTGGAGTTAAAACCAGGAAGAAATCTGCAGAAGTGACCAGGGTGGGAGAGATCTGTGATATGGTGGAAACTGTACTGGATGTGGAGTCAGAAGACCCGAGTTCAACAACCTGCTCTGCCGCTTTCTAGTTGTGTGACCTTGGGGGAGTCATTAATCTCCTGGGCCTCAGTTTCCTCTTTTGTCAAATGAGGAGGTTGAGCTAGATGGCTCTGAGGTCCCTTCTGGCTCTAAATCTATGATTTTATGTGTAACCTTGGCAAAAATCATTTAACCTCTCTGCGCCTCAGTTTCTTCCTCTGTAAAGAGGTTTGGCTAGTTGGCCTCTAAGGCCCTTGCAGCTTCAGTGCTAAGATCTTAAGTCTATCTAGATGGCCTCGAAGGTACCGTCCAGCTCTAGGGTCATGACCCTATGACTTTTCTGCAGACCAGAAAGACTCAGGCTGGCGATTCTGGGGAGGAGTCCCCGGATTAGGACTTGTATCCAAAATGCATTCTTCCAACGTGGAAACGTGCCCCCTCCCAACCCTACTGGTTGAGAAGACTGGGAAGAAGGGGTTAAAAGAGGATAGAGCCTGGGAGAAAACACAACTCCCACTTACACAACACTGGCCAGAAAATGACTCCACAGAAGGGGCAGGGTGAGGGTTGTTGTCAGTTTTATAAGAGGAAAGTGAGACCCAGAGCTGGGCAGCTAGTAAACATCAGAGCCAAGATATAATAATAATAACAGTAACAGCAGCTAGCATTTAAAGAGGGCATCATAGAAAGTACTGCAAATATGTGTGTGTATGTATATATATATATATATATAAAATATAATATGTATATCTTTTGGGGGGGAGGGTTAGGCAATGAGGTTAAGTGACTTTCCCAGGATCACACAGCTAGTATGTGTTATATGTCTATGGCCAGATTTGAACTCAGGTCCTCCTGAATCCAGGACTGGTGCTCTACTTCGCTACCTAGCTGCCCCCAATATATATCTTTAAAGGATTAAAAGTACAGGTATGTGTTTATTATCTACATAATATATATACACACATATGTTTCTGCTCTCGATAGCTCTCTCGAAATAGCAACTCTCTGTACCCCTATTCGGGGTTTTCTTGGCAGAGATACTGGAGTGGTTTACATTTCCCTCTCCATACCATTTTACAGATGAGGAAACTGAGGCAAGCAGGATTGAGTGACTTGCCCAGGTCACACAGCTAATAAGTGTCTGAGGCCAGATTTGAACTCAGGAAGATGAGTCTTCCCTGATTTCAGGCCTGGTGCTCTATCCATTGCACCACCTAGTTGCCCTTCAGTGTATACAGTAGTCTCTTAATAAATGCTTGTTGAACTGAATTGAATATTCTGAATCACTATCAACCCGGGAGAGCAGGCCTGCTGGGTCCCAGTCTTTATCTTTAACCCCCTAACGCCCCAAGAGTGATCGTCATCATCCTCACCAGGAGACAGCTGGATATGTATACGTGATATCACACCTCTTGCCTTCTCGGTGGGCTGGGGGAGGGGTAGGAGGGAGAGAGATTTCAGAACTCAAGTTTTTTTTAAATGAATGTTAAAGATAAATAAAGAATTAATTCTTATTATTTTTTAAAAAGAGACAGTTGGTGCAATGATCTTAAGAGTCAGAAGGGGCCCAGATTCAAATCCACGCTCCTTCACTTGCCAGTGATGTGACTTTGTATTAGAAACAATTCCCCTCTCATTCAAGGTTTTCCTTTTTAAATGGGGAGAGCAGCACATGAGAAACATAAGATCACAGACTGGGAAACGCAAGAGAACTTGGAGGACATTGAGTTCAGCTCATTTAACAGATGAGGAAACTGAGGCCAAGGGGGAAGTGATTTGCCCAGAGTCACACGCTAGCTAGCAGAGTGTTCTGTAAAACTCAGAGCATTAAGGAAGAGTAAGAGATGACAACTCCCCTCTCTAGAGCACCTGTGGCCTACAGAGCAGGGCTATTTCCATCCCATTTTACGGTCTGGGAATCTGGGGCTGGCAAAGGATAAACCGATGTCCTCCAAAATCCTTTCGGCTCCTAAACTCTGGGAAGGGGAAGGACATGGAGTGGTGGGAAAAGACTGTTATGTTTTTTTTTTTCTCTCCGACCCCCTCCGCACCCCGGAAGCTGCCTCTCTATGCATTATGTATGATTAAAAGTTGGGTTTGGTTCTGGCTTCCTCCAGGAGGAAAAATATTCTATTTTAAAACTTTCAGATTAAGGGAAAGGAAACTGATGTTGGAGCCAGAGGGTAGGGCTTTGCCACTGGCTACCTTCCTGACAGTGGGCAAGTCACCTTCCCACATTTGGGCCTCAGTTCTCTCATCTGGAGAACCCAGGAATCGGACTAATTGACTTCCAAAGTCTCTTCGGCCTCTGATCCGAATCCGGGAATTAAACAAAACTTCCTGAAGAATCCTGTCCATGAGGGTATATAGGCCAGAAGCGTGGGGGTGGGGGCAGAAAGGGGGGTACTTAAGCCAGGAGCCTGAGGA